GAAGAAGAAGAAGAAGAAGAAGAAGAAGAAGAAGAAGAAGAAGAAGAAGAAGAAGAAGAAGAAGAAGAAGAAGAAGAAGAAGAAGAAGAAGAAGAAGAAGAAGAACAACAACAACAACAACAACAACAGAAATACTAATATATATATATATTAATTAAATGTATATGCCATCCGTTTCACTATCGAGCGACTCTGGATGGCTTACAGCAATCTTAGGAAGAAGAATATAAAACCAGTAAAAACGTGATAATAACAGGAACAATCAACAAACAGGAAGCAAGCCTTTCTCTGTACCAATGATGCATAAACTCCTTAAATTAAAACTGACACCAAACTTGGTCTGTTCACAGGGTGGAGAGATCCTTCTCTCCCCACACGTTCTCCAACAGAAAAACCAGACAAGGGCTGCATTGTCCTCTCTGAAATTCAAATGATGTTTGTCTGGAGGGCGCAGCCGAGAGAAACGACATTTCTCTTTGCAGATGGACCACTGCATCATTTTATTTTATTTTTTCCCGGATACAGAAATGCAGTCATTCAGGCTGTGCATGAAAAGCCTGGGAGGCTCCCAAGGAGATCACACCCGCAGGGTCCATGGTTAAAAGGAGACCTATTTCTTCCATGAAGCTTGAGAAACCACCTGCGTCTGTGAATGGTCCTTCCATGACAGGTAATCCTTGACTTACAACCATCCGTTTAGTGACCAAAGTTACAGCAGCGTGTCAACAGTGGTGTCCCCCACAAGGCAGTGTTCTGGGACCAACTCTCTTCATACTCTACATAAATGACCTCTGTGATCATATCAAGAGCAACTGCGTTCTCTTCGCCGATGATGTAAAGCTATTCAACACCACAGACAATACAGCTACCCTTCAAAAAGATCTTGACTATGTGTCAGGATGGTCAAACAAATGGCAACTTCAAATCTCAACAAATAAATGCTCTGTCTTACATACTGGCAAAAAAAATATATCAGAAAATAAAATACAAGCTGAATAGTCAAGACCTTGTTGATGATCCAAGCTCTGTCAAGGACCTTGGAGTACTCATCTCTAATGATCTAAGTGCTAGAGCCCACTGTAACTACATAGCCAAAAAGGCACTAAGAGTTGTTAACCTAATCCTGCGTAGCTTTTTCTCCAGTAATATCACTCTACTAACTAGAACATACAAAACTTTTGCTAGATCAACACTTGAATACAGCTCATCAGTCTGGAAGCTGCATTCCCTATCTGATATTAGTACAATTGAGAAAATCCAGAAATATTTCACAAGAAGAGTTCTCCGCTCCTCTACTCGTTGCAGAATACTTTATGTCACCAGACTTGAAATTCTAGACCTAGACAACCTAGAACTATGCCACCTTTAGTTCTATCTAAGTATAGTACATCAAATTATGTATTGCAATGTCCTACCTGTCAATGAATACTTCAGCTTCAACCATAACAACACTAGAGCAAACAATAGATACAAACTCAAGGTAAACCGCACCAAACTTGATTGCAGGAAATACGACTTCAGCAACAGAGTGGTCAATGTCTGGAATATTCTACCTGACTCTGTGGTTTCTTCCCCAAACCCCCAAAATTTTAACCTTAGACTGTCTACTATTGACCTCTCCTAAGAGGTCTGTAGGGGGTGTGCATAAACGCACCAACATGTCTACCGTCCCTGTCCTATTGTTTCTTTTATTTTTCTTATATGCATTCATTTCATGTATTCATAACCGTGTTTATACTTATACCTGTTATCTAATAATCACTTGACAAATAAAATAAATAAATAAATAATACTGCAAGGGACCTTGGAGGTCTTCTAGTCCAACCTCCCCAGCTCAGGTAGGGAACCCTGCTGAATGAAGAAGGCACTTACAAAACGTTTCTCACCCTTACAACCGCTGCAGCATCCTCAGGGTCCAACATGATCAAAATTCAGACGCTTGGCAACTGACTCGTATTTATGACAGTTACGGTGTCCTGGGATATGTGTGTGTGTGTGTCTTGTGATCCCATTTTGTGACCTTCTAACAAGCAGAGTCAATTCCCTTACAATCCATGTTACTAACTTCACAACTGCGGTGACAATTCTGTCCTACACATTGGTGTAAAATAAAACCCCAACACACCAAATACAAGCTAGGCAGATAGGACCTCGTGGACGATCCTCACTCTGTCAAGGACCTTGGAGTTCTCATATCTAACGACCTAAGCGCCAGAGCTCACTGCAACAGCATTGCCCAAAGGCATTTATGTTGGGGTTCGCCGGCAGCAGGCGGGGACGGCTGAGGTCTCGGAGAGCGAGGACTCAGATGAGGGGCTTGCGTGGGATGCAGGGATGGGGGCCAGGACCCTCAGGGAGTGGAGTGCGGCCTTTGGAGATGGTGGAGGCTGGCAGCGGTGAGGAAGAGGCCCCCGAGGAGCCTGTGCCCAGCGCTCAGAGAGCACTAAGGACCTCACAGTTCTCCTCCTCCTCTCCTCAAACCCCTTCCCTCCTAGCACTGATGATGTTACCTAGTTTGGTAATGAAATGTCTGCAAGAAAACAACCAAGCTCAGAGAATACCCCTACAAATATTTTCTTCTATTGATTATGTTCAAGCCCCTTCAATTAGGTAATCAGAAACAAGAAGAGAGGAAAAGAGAGAGAGAGAGAGAGAGAGAGAGAGAGAGAGAGAAAGAAAGATAGATAGATAGATAGATAGATAGATAGATAGATAGATAGATAGATAGATAGATAGATAATGTTCAAATGTTTCAGTGGCACTATCCCATCAAGCATGGTAGAAGTTTCAAGTTCATCTCTGATATGAAGAACCTCAACAAATTCCAGGACCCATCTTCCCATTTGGCCTTACTCTTAAGGTATTGAGATTTAAGAGCTGACCATCAGTTGTAAGGCTGATGTACACCTGATGCAATGAGGATGAATCAGCAAGGTTATTGCCGCTTTAAGACTGAGGGTGGGTCCACAGGGTTTTACCACTTTAAGAAGCTGCATATATAAATGAGGCCATGAGAGGCTGTATCTCTCTCTCTCTCCTTGTGTTCTGTCTCCATTGTGGTTCTCCGTGCAGAGTAAAGAAGATTGATTGATTGCCAAGTATTTGCCTACCCATGTATATGTATGTATATAGCTGTCTTGTAGATAAACCACTGTTAAAATGACAAAGCCTCTGGGTGCTGTGTTTTGCTCCTGGGTTGTCTCGCAATAGTAGTCGCGCTGCAAATACTCTGACACTTACTTTGGGTCGCTTCCATTGGATCCCCTGAATCCGAGACTTGTAGAAGAGCGAGTCATCGTTGGCTGGAAAGAGCGGATCTTCAAACAAGATTTTCCTCCTCTGACAGTCCTTCTTCAAAGTTGAGTACCGCTGGTTTTCATATGGCTTCACTGATGAGAACATTCTTCCTGGTCACCCCTAGAAGGACAGAAGGCAAAGCTTCAATAAGAGGATTCACAGGCAACAAGACAAAAAACCCTGACCCAACCTTGGACGTTGCACTCCAAGCACGTCCAGAAAGTGACTGGTTGAGGAAGACCCTGCCCAACCGTGATGGATCCAGTGAAGATGATTTTGGACACCCAACGGGAGTTATAATTTCTTGACAGGGAGAACAATTTATCGGTGGCATGACTTGTCTCTAGAAGTTGTGGGTGCGCCATCACTGGTGGTTTTTAAGAAGATACTGGACAGCCATTTGTCTGTGTTAGAAATTCTGTATTTAGCCCTATGAAAACCACAGCGCACTGTCCACATGTGCTTTTCTGCTCAACTGTGAGAAGGAAAGCACATGTGGACGGTGCACTGTTTGTTCTGGAGGGCTATATACAGAATTTCTAACAGGTTATGGGCCCAGTCGAAAGCGCAAGATACAGGAAACAGGAAGAAGACGACAACAGAATAAAAGAAAATGGCCTGTAGCACAGCTGCAGTAAAACTTTCATTTGTAAATCTAACAGTCTGAAATGATCCAGGGCCTCCCGCTAGAGGATGAGGTTGGACTAGATTCAAAAGACCTCCAAGGTTCCTTACAACTCTGTTATTCTATTACTCATGTAAAAATTTCCCTGTTAGGCAAGCCATAAGTTCACGGAGCTGGCCAAGATGCGAATAAAGGCTGGGCTGACAACCGGAGGAGCCAATTTGGAAGCCACTGACCTAAAAAAGGAAGATTTTGGCTGCCAACATTGGTTTCTGGTCAGCAATTACTCCAAATAATGGTTCCCCACTGAGCAAACATCTGGGATGACAGAATTGTGAGCACAGCTCCATGTGCTGGCCAAATAAAATCATTAATTCTTCGCTCCAAGGACCAATGCCAACATCTCAACCATGAACTCCTCACTCCTGTTAAACCTCAAATAGTTTCCCCATTCTTTCATTCCTGTATGCTTTGATATTCTCACAGCAGTAAGCAAACGAAGCTAGGCAAACACCTGTAGCACACAAACCAACTAAACCCTTCCCAAACACCCTAAGTAAATCAAAAGTCGCCGCAGTCCCAGAAGAGTAAACAGGAGTTACCTACAACGCACAGTGTAAAGATTGCAACAACCACGATGTAGGACAAAAAGACAGAAGACCAGCAGAACGTGTCTATGAACGCCAACTAGCAGTTAGAAGACGTGATTAAAAACTCCTTAATTTCACAAGACGTGGGTAGGCTTAACCATGGTTTCAACTATGAGCTATCCTAGACCAGTGGTCGCCAACCAGTGGGCCGGGGACCACTGGTGGTCTGCGAGAAAATTTTAGTGGTCTGCAGAGAAATGTCACCCCCCCCCAAAGCAATTAATCCAGTCTGCGCAGGAACGCAAGGCTGCGCCGCCCACATGGCCTGCGGGAACATAAGTCTTGCGTTGCTTGCATTGCAAACAACACGAGGGAGTGAGGGGAGGGGGGAAAGGGCGGAAGTGGGGAAATTGCCCCATTCGCCTCACGCGCCTGGCCTGGGCACTGGGCTGCTTCTTTCCGCTTCTTTCTTCTTCTGCTTTTGGCTGCACACAAGGAAAGCAGCAAAAGTCTTTCTTTCTCTCCCCCAAACTCAGCCAGAAATGAATCTTTGGGACCCTGCAAGGCATCCTTGCTCCAAAAGGCTGCGCCGGCACGACAAGTCTCACAAAGACTCATTTTTGGCCGAATTTGGGGGAGAGAAAGAAAGACTTCTGCTGCTTTCCTTGCATGAAACCAAAAGTCTCTCTCTCCCTCTCTCTCTCCCTCTGAGAATGGAGCTGGAGACGGTATCCTGCGATCCCAAATAAAGAACGATCGATCGGTAGGAAAATGGGGTGGAGAATTTTCCTGCAGAGTTTTTGGGGGATTTTTCCAGGGTCTCTGGTCTGCGGGATTTAAAATATGAGTTTGGTGGTCCCTGAGGTCCAAAGGTTGGCGATCCCTGTCCTAGACCAAGCCAAGTCCAAAAACACTAGAGAATTTCTGGAAGTTTGGCACTCGGACAAATCAGCCATCAACAGGCACATAGAGATATACAACAGCTACATATCACTCAAAAGAAACTATCAACAAGCCCCAAAGGAAACATAAAGATCAAAACGCCTCGCCATCAGCAATCACTCCCTAAAAGAGCAGAGATTAATACCAAGAGTAACACTACTAGACCATCATGTGAACAATATCCTAATCAAGGAACTACCAAAGCAGACAAACTAACAGTAAACAACCTAATCAAAGAACCACCAAAAGCCCATTCTCCCTTCTAGCACTGATGATATTACCTAGTTGGGTAATGAAATGTCTGCAAGAAAACCACCAAGCTCAGAGAGCACCAAGGACCCCATAGCTAAGCAAGCAAGTATCCAACCATCTCTAATTCTTTCTGGGAAAATAATTTCCTTTTTTTTTTTTTAACCCTGTAACCTCAACTGCTTGCTAGAATTCTCACAACATCCACGGCTTCCTCATTTTCTGTATACGGACATTACGCAAACCCTAAATTAACCAAATGACTAGGTTCGGGTAGAGAGTTGAGCCATAAAATACACCTAATCGAGATTCAAATTATCCAGGCTTACTATATGGGCGCAAGACCTTTCCTCTGACTTGTTTAGGCTTGTATGGACACAGCCATGATTTTGCCCACTGGCAGAACTAACATTCCTGCAGCAACTCCAGTAACCTTCGTGGGGAGCTCAGATTTCTACACACTTCTACAGTTATATAAATCCCATGTTCGGCTACCAAGCAATACCGGCATTCCAAAAGCACTTTGAAATTCACATTGTTCTTAAAACATCCCCTGCTGTGGCTGCTCTGATTCGGCTGCAGCGAGGGGGACCGATAATATCTTTCCATATATATTGTATATATATATGAAATCTTTCCATATATTGTATCTTTTCTTTTATGTATACTGAGAGCATTTGCAGCAAGACAAATTCCTTGTGTGTCCAATCACACTTGGCCAATAAAAGAATTCAATTCTATTCTATTCTATTCTATTCTATTCTATTCTATTCTATTCTATTCTATTCTACTCCCTATTCTATTCTATTCTATTTCCTATTCTATTCTATTCTATTCTACTCCCTATTCTATTCTGTTCTATTCTATTCTATTTCCTATTCTATTCTATTCTATTTTCTATTCTATTCTATTCTATTCTATTCTATTCTATTCTATTCTATATATATAGTACATGATTGTGGTGAGGGATTGTGCCTTGCACTGCAGAAGGAATGGATATATTGCCCGATAACCCTGCAGGCGCTGGAGGTTGGTAATAGTAATTACCTTGTTGTCTTTTCCTTGGTTGAAAGGAACATCATAATCTTCTATATATTTAAAAGTGAAATACCCCTCACGCATCATCACAAAATCTCCAGAACAGTAAAGCCTACAAACTTGACATTTGGCACGTATGTTCCTCTTGGCTTCTCGGGGCTCACTAAGAAAGGATTTTTCAAAATGACCATCAGAGCATTTATAGTATTTCCTTTATTATTATTATTATTATTATTATTATTATTATTATTATTATTAACACACTATGATGCTAAGGAGTTCTACTCCCCCACCCCACCTGAAAAGAAAGCTCTTCCAAAGGCAAAACACAAGCAGAGGAGTTTCACGTTCATAGCACCAAGCAGCTTTTAGTACAGAACAGTTGAGCTAAGCCGCACCCAGGCTCCTTGCTGTCTCCTTGCTCACACAACAAATACTGCTTCAGTTTCCAAACAGCCCTCAACTCTCTCACACACTGACAGGACTGCTAGCCAGATGAATACCGATGGAAGCTGGTAGGCAGAGGCACAATTTTTCCCCTCTTAATTTCGTCCCCCATAACTAAGCCCGGTCACATAGTTTCATAGCGAACCACCGGTATAGAGCTAATCATTAATAAAGGTAGTCCTCAAATTACAATTATTTGTTAATACCGTTCAAGTTTACAACAGCGCTGGAAAAAGTCACTGATGACCATGTTTCACATGTCCATTGCAGCATCCCCATTAGGCACGTGATCAAAATTCAGATGCTTGGAAACTGGCATGTATTTATGACGGTTTTAGTGCGCTTGTGATTTCCCTTTTGCGAGATTTGTCTAACAACCATGGGGTGAGCTTAAGCACTGTGGCGATTCACTCAAGCAATGGTGGCAAAGAAGGTCGTAAACCTGACTTCACAACTATCTTGCTTAGGTGCAGAAATATCGGACTGAATCGCAGTTCACTAAGCCACGGGTCGGTCTGAAAAATGGGGGACTTTACAATTATTGTTATTAGGAACGAACAGCAACTACTAAAATGAATGTTTTGCCAAAGCTTTTATACCTCTTTCAAACAACCCCAACAAAATGAGATAAGAACTTTTTGTACAGAATTAAATAGGATAACCACAAAATTTGTCAGGGCAGGTAAGAAAGTGCGAATAAAGCTAAAAGACTTACAGACTTAACTCTCAGATTGGGAATTCTATCATGGCAATACTAGTATGGATACAAGATTGGATAAATCTAAGAAACAAAAGAATACTAACCATGGAAGGGCATTGACTTACAAAGAGAGTGGCATGCCTTCTTGTGGGATAAAGGGAACAAACCGTATCTATACTTTTATAGACATAAAATAAGAGATGTGCTGATACAATCACGGAGACAAATAAAGAATAAACATGATCTGAAAATTCCAAGTTGGATATCTCCCATGGAAGCAGTGACCCATCCTAATATAATGGATGTTAAGAAAATGGCCAGTTGTAGGGAAATTTTTAGATAAACAAGGGAAATTAAACAGTAGACAGGAACTGGAAGAGCAGGGAATAAAATTAGATTGGTGGCCCTATATGCAAATACAAATGAAATATAAAAAAGATAGCGAGGAATTTGGAATACACAACGAACCACAAAAACTAGATAAAATCTTGATTGGCCCAGATGAGAAATTATTATCAAAGATATATAA